AATTTTTTACAAAAATCGTATTTATAATTATCTTTAACTATTAAATATTAATATTAACATTTTTAATTATTTGTTAATGATATCCCCTTACACCTTAAAAACAAAATAAAGTCCGATTTTTTTTTTCATATTAAAGTTTATTACATAAGCTTTAATAAATATATATATAAAAGTGACAGTATTTCCGGAACACTTTCAAAAGTTAATTTTTTGTGGAAAATTTGCCATTTTGAATCCCTCTCTATGAGCAGGTAAAGAGTCATATTTATAAAAAAAAAATACAAAATGATAGGTAAATATCTTCTGTATCTATAAATATACAGGGTGTTCAGTAAGTCAGGAAACGGGTTTCTATTGTTCTCATTGTTTGTAACAATGAGAACAATAGAAACCCGTTTCCTGACTTACTGAACACCCTGTATAAAAATTATAGGTAAAGAAATCATACATCTATAAAAAAAAAACTATATCGATTTGGTCATTTTTAAAAATGTTATGACAGTTTTAAGTAAAAAAAAAATTTTAAAATGTCGAAAATAGTGATTTTTATATTTGTAATTTTTTTGGATATTTTCCCCATTTACAGGGAACGAGGGAAATTTTTTCAATTTTTGAGGTTAATGTCTTTGGTTAGATATGATTTGTGATCTTTTGAAAACACATCATATTAAAATTAATACCTTGTCATCTTCGCATCGAAGCAAAAAATATACAGATTGTCTTGAAAATGGGTTATAATTTTATATTATCTCTGACGTAAGATTTTTGGTAATATTTTACCTTTTGTCTATAATAATAATTTATTGTAAGCTGAATTCTATATCTAATAATATTACAGTATTTTTTTTAATAATACTGACTTTCTATTGTGTCACATTCGAAATTTATAGGTTAATAAATATCAATCTTCTATGTAATAATTATGGTTGGGATCCATACAATGGTATACAGTATGTAAATGATTTATATGTGTAGGTTTGTATTATAAAAAGAAATATTCATACTTATGTTTCTTAAAAATTAAGTAAAAATCTAAAATTCACACAGTGGCTAATGTACAAATGAGTTTTTTTTAACCCAAAACATAATAATTTCTATATTATGATTTGTGATTCTAGAGAACTAACCATATTCTTGAAAAAAAACTTAGTAGTGTAAGTTTAACATAACGTAACAAAAATTCGTACACAAATATAACATTTTTATCACTATTTAACAGTTTTCTTCCTTAAATTAAATGCGTTATAAATTTTTTCATTTAATTTATATAAAATATTTGATTTATTTTAGAATAGTACCCCATTGAGTTTATCTACTTATAAATAATAACCAAGACTTAAAATTTCATCTCCAACATTTATAGAATTAATCATTTTTTCATATTAATTATGCTCAGTAGTTTCAGTTATTAGAAGGGTGGTCAAAGTCACTATGCAAGCACTCAGACCTTATAGTTCATTATGGATACTACATATCAATACATAAAACAAAAATCAGTTTTTTACCAATGAGTTATGTGTTTAATTCTATAGAACTTCAATTTTTTCACTATATTATCGTTAATTAGATCCCTGCTTTCACCAAAAAATTCTGAATATTTTCATTTAGTTAGTCAGCAACAATATCAGTTGTTCTTAACTCCTAACTTCTGTTTGTTGACAGTTTCTTTCATTTTTTTATTGTTTATGATTCATAATAAATTTCCTAATGTTATTATGGCTCATCATTAGTATCCCGTATTACCATAGTTCTTCATAAGATACTCATTCCTAGCATCAAGATTATTTAATAATCCCCAACGATTTTTAAAAGAGATTCACTATAAACATATTCTTGTTCGTAAAAGTTTTCTTTAATTAGATGACTGCTTTCGAAAGATAGTTTAGCCAAAAACGATACCGTTGATTTTAAGACTTTTGAATTTTGTTTGTTGACTTCTCTATCGTCTTTTGCTAGTTTATAATACATCATTTAGTGTCCCATTACTACCACCGTTAATCATTACATGCCATATTCCTACCATTAGGTTATAAATTATCCAACAATCATCTATGGTGCCTCATCGTTTTGACTCTGTTTCTTACAGATTTTCATTAATTAAATGAGAAATGCCGACCATACCAGAACTCGGTACTGTGGTAAGGTATACTTTATTGTGCACCAGTTGTCATAGAAGTTCTCAAATCTCAACTTTACTTTTCTGTATACTACGCTGTTAAAAATTTCTCTCACTTGGTGTGAAAAGTTATGGGATATATTTGCAAACATATTTTCTCATGCCTATCAGTCTCAAAAATTGGAAATAACTAGCTGTATGATCAATGTTTTTTTATCCCCCACTGAATGACTACGGACCGTCGGGTCCGTAGTTCTTGATCCTTAATAATTCCTTACGGAATTATGATCAATAACATTTAAATTGAATTGCCATTTATAAACTATCTAAAATATAAGATATATGATGAAAACAGTACAAAAATGTCTATGGGGGATGTAGTACCATATTTATGAAAAGACATTTGTTACATTTGTTCAAAGCACACTCAAAAAAGGGGCTCACAACAAATGTTACTTATATACAAATTATAATTATTCTAGATAAATAAAATTTTGTTTATTAACAAAAACGAGTAAAAATTAAAAAAAAAAAATATTTAGCAAATATAAGTTTTCAAGGCAATATTGACAAATTTTCTGAACAAAAAAACTAGAAAATGTTTATAAAAACTTTAATTTGTCATTTGTCTTTATAAAAGTACTATGACAAAATAAAAGAAAGATTTTTATTTATGTATTTGGTTGTTTATATTTAATATTCACTTAAATAAAACATTATTTTATATAGATGAAATTACTAGAGAAATACAAAGATAGGTGTTGTTCACTGATGATATAGTGTTAATAGAAGAATATAGGAAGGAAATTAATCAAAGGCTAAAAGAAAGTTTTAAGTATTTAGAATCAGTTGTACAAAAAAACGATGGTATTGACGAGGATGTAAACACAAGATTAATTACAGGTGATTGAAGTGAAGAGAAGCGTCTGGTGTGTTATATGATAAAAGAATACCAATGAGTCTGGAGGGTAAATTCTATAAGACTGTAGTGAGAATAGCTTTGATGTATGATTCAGAGTGTTGGGTGGTTGACAAGAAAGTGGTGCAGAGAATGGGTGTATCTGAGATGAGAATGCTTAGATGGATGAATTAAGTGACTAGAGAAGATAGGATAAGGAACGAGCATAAGAAAGAGAGTATAGTTGTAGCGTTAATAGTGGATAAGATAAGAGAAAATAGACTAGTATGGTCATGTTGTGAGAAGAGAGAAATCGGAAGCTGTAAAAACAGTTATGGAAATAAATTTTAAAGGAAGAAGAGGTAGGGGAAAACCAAAAAAAAAATGGAGGGATGTTATCGAATTCGATGTGGGACATCTGATGTGTGCGTAGGTGGTAATATAGGAGATAGGTCATGTGGAAATTTAGGATAAGGGTGGCCAACTCCAAGTAGTTAGGATTAAGGCGATAAAAAAGAAGATATTCAATACATATATCAGGGCCAGATCTTAGTAGGTTACGGAGGGTAGTACAACTGCCATTTAATGGGATTTAAATTAACATAGTTGGCAATTTAAATAAAATTTCAACAACTTATTTTACATTTATGTAATTAGGAGTATGTCGGTTTAGTTATATATGACACTCCCTAAAAATTGAGATTTTATATTTTAATATACAGAGTGATTGATTTTAACTGTCAACTAAATTTCTTTTAAAAAAATTATAATTTTGGCATAATCAAGTAGTATTTATGTCTTGTATTATAATAGTTATATGATATTAAATGTTTTTAAGGTTCTTTTCTCTATTTCTTTTCCTTATATGGGGCTATCCATAAATTACGTCACACGTTAATGGAGGGAGGGTATCACTGTAATGTGACATAGTGTGACAAGGGCAAGAGGGTCAAAAGCTTTGTGACATCATATGTTAAAATTTAAAATACTAAAACATGAGATTTATATGTAAATAAAAAATTTTGGAACTTGATCTATATTTATAAATAATTAAGTACTATCGCTATCACGATAACAATCACGCAGTGGTGGCTCGTGGGTGCTAGTGAGGGTGCGACTTCAAACATAATACCGCTAGTTATATGTATAAAAAATTGTGAAATTAAATATAATAAAATAAAACATAATACACATATTATTATTTTAAAGGTCGCAATAGAAAATAGAAGTGAAAATAATAATAGTGATTATATTATTATAGCAACCGATAAGGATTAGCGTACACGTAGTTAATTCTAAAAATAAATTACCCAATATAGTAATATACTAATATTTTACTGTATGGACGACGCTGCCGGTCGTCCAAAACCCGTACATAAGATCGCAGCTAAACCGCGTATCAACACGCAGGGCCGTCCTAAGGCCGGGGCGAGCGGGGCCCACGCCCCGGGCCCCGCGCTTTGGACTCCTCGTTTGGGCCCCGCGCTAACGCACTTAAATAATCTTAAGTTTTCTTTGAATTAACTATTTACATATATTATAAATGTAGTTTGAATTTTTATTTGACAATATTATATTATTAAATAAATGAAATGAAATACGAAATACTAATGCAGTATAAACAATGATAATAAAAGTGAATAGATTTTCTACATAACGTACTAAACAAATTATATATTATTGTTACCAAGCCGTTTACATGGGGAATACGTTTCTCATTTCTAAAATTAGAATTTGTACAAAACAATGTACGTGTTTTGTTATTTTGATTAATTGAGCAGCTCCCGACGATACTAAATATGATGGAATAAGTTACAGCTATAGTTAAATTTTAACCGTTACCATCGGGCATCATTTATTTTATATATTTCCATGTGAGACTATTGACAAACTTATAGAGGTTTATTTGTAGTTAACTGTTAACTTAGGTAAGTTAAATTTTTTTTAATTTAATTTTACTGTTTTAAGTATTAATTAACTTTTTACAATAACAGATTGTAGTTTTATTCAATAACACTTATTGTTTTTTTTTTTTGCTACAATAATTATTTAATAGAATCATAATTTGTTTATTGCTTATAATTCTTTTTCTGTAAATTAGTTTTATGTCAACAATTCATTATGTCAAGAGATCGTGATAAGTATAGGAAATATTTATCTGGAAATGAAAAAAGAGCAAAAAAAGCTAAAATAGAACTAGAAAAAAGTAAAATTCGTGGCTCTATGAGGAAATTTATTAACAATTCCAATTCCAGTTCTAGCAATGTTACACTCACGTCTAACTATGAAAAGCCATCTACTTCTAAGGTAACAAGTTTAAGTATAAAGAGTAGGGCTTTTAAGAAAATATTATTATTCAGATGATTTTTTCACAATTATTCAAATAATTATCTAGGTAAAATAATGATACATTGTTTATAACTGATGATATAAATATAAATGTGAGTAAATCCCAAATTATGATTATCATCTTAATGAATTCTTATTAATGTCTATTTGCATCTTAAATATAATATAAATATACTAATGTAGGTACTTATTATATATAACATATTAAACAAACTTTTCCTTATTATCCACACAATTTGTGTCATATCTTTTAATTACAACAAAGAATGCATATTGAAACAGTATTTATAAATTGAGGAATTTTTTATTAAGTTTACTAACATAATTCACAAAATAAATTGTTTTAATAATTTAAAATTTGATTGTTGGTCACTTTTTATTCATTTTTTGTATAACTTTTTACTTATTACTTCAAGTATAAATATAAATACATTTTTTTGTATGTTTTATTTTTATTAGTCACAACTACAAGACACCAGCAATCATGTATTTGAGTTGGAGGACCCAGCAAATTAGCCATCAGTTATTGACAGGCAGTATCGTTCATGTATTGCCAATAAAGAGGCAATTCAAATAAAAAATTTTAAATTTCCAGTGAATAAAGAACAAAGATCATTCTCTGAAAACTATTATTACAAGACTATGACAAATGGTGAAAAGGTAATAAGACCATGGCTCATATATTCAAAAAAAATGGATGCTGTATTTTGTTTTTCGTGTCGGTTGTTCCCAAATCCTAAGAACAAAACTAGTTTTACTGATGGCTTCAATGACTGGAAACATTTATCTGAACGAATTAAAAGCCATGATTCTTCAATTTATCATAAAAAGTCTAATCAACAATGGTTAGAATTATCATGGCGTATAGATAGTGGTAAAACTTTAGACAGTGAACTTCAAAAAGAAATTCAAACTGAAAAAGACCGCTGGAGAACAGTACTGAAAAGAATAATAGCTTGTATTATTTATCTTGCTCAACAAAATGACGCGTTCAGAGGAAAAAACTGTACCTTTTATACAGAATCAAATGGTAAATTTCTTAAACTTATTGAAATGATAGAAAGTTTTGATAATCCTATGGCTGAACACTTGAAAAATATAAAAAATAAAATAATCCATCAACATTATTTGGGACCCAGGATACAAACTGAATTAATACATTTGATTGGAAGTAAAATAAGGACAGAAATCGTAACACGTATTAAAAAAGCAAAATATTACACTATTATGCTTGACGGAACTCCTGATGCATCTCACAAGGAACAATTAACGTTAATCATCAGAATTGTACAGATAACTAAAACTTATAATAATGTTAAAGTTTCGGTGGAAGAATATTTTTTAAACTTTTTACACATAACTTTGAAAACTGGATTAGGATTATTTGATGCTTTAAAGCAAGAGTTATCAAATTTAGGTTTATGTTTATCAAATTGTCGTGGCCAAGGTTATGACAATGGTGCAAATATGGTTGGACATAAGCAAGGTGTACAGGCTAGAATTTGAAATTAAAATCCAAGAGCGTTATTCTTGCCGTGTTGTGCTCATTCATTAAATCTTTTATTAGGTAAGATTTTTAGTTGCCTGTTCTTTATTATTTTTTATGTAAACAATATGTTATTAATAACTATTTGAATATTATTATTTTAGGGGATATGGCAAATTGTATTCCACGAGCTATGACCTTTTTCGGAGTGAAACAAAGGTTGTACACTTTATTTTCTGCTTCTACAGAGCGTTGGGAAATTTTGAAAAAACATTTAAAATGTTTAACATTGAAACAGTTGTCTGATACTCGATGGGAGTGCCGATTAGAATCTGTGAAGGCCGTGAAAATGCAACTTAAAGAGATAAATGAAGCGTTAATAGAAGTAAGTGAATCTACATCAATACC